TGGCTTGTTTAGTTTACACTCGAAGGTGATTGGGCTCTCGGGCGAGATCCCAATTCGTCAGTCACGACTGACGTAACGTCGAACGTGACTGACTGAAAGGGAACATATTTTCCCCCAATTATCATCATGATAATCATTAAAGAGTGACACCCAAAAAATTATTATAATTATTTACTAATGTATGTTTCATACTAACAAATGCTGTGAAGCATGACCATCCAAAAAACTAATGCAAGTGCATGTCAAAAAATTTAAAAAAAAATCACACTGTTGGCACACTATTACCATTTTTAATTAATAATATTGTTATCCTAATATATAACTGTATTTTTTTTTACTATCAAAAAGTTAAACATAATAGGAATCAAAATAAGAACCATTATTGACAATAATGTGAATTATAAAAATAAAACAAAAAAACACTCATTATGATAATGGTGGGAAATTTCAGATTTTTCTTTTTTCTTTATTCATATTCATATTATTATTAGTAGTATTAGGGTTGCAAAAAAAGTGGAAAATTTCCAGTAAATTTTGGAAATATTCCAGAAATTGTAGAAACTTTCCAGGATTTTTTGGAATATTCCAGGGATTTTTGGAAAGTTTCCGGAAATTTTCCACCCCTTTGCAACCCTAATTAGTATTATTATATTGTAAGATTGAACCTTAAACAAACAATCTTTACAATTGAGAAGTCTTATCAATGAAGAAAAAAAAAACTGATATCACCTTTAGAAGCATAAAGCTGTACGTCAACAAGTCTAAAAGTACACAGAACATAACCTTTGCTCTATATCATCCAAAATTGCAAGGCTGTCCTAGAAATGGGTAGATATATTAATGCATATTTATATATATATATATTCACGTATTAGCATTTAAGCAGGCATAATGCGCTCAGCAAAGGCTCCATTTAGGCCTGCTGCATTGCTCTGCGTTTTGAAGTATGTGGTTCCCGATTTGATTGGATTTGATTCAATTCAATCTCTCAGTCTCAGGCGGCTGGAGAAAAGCACTCAAAAACAACCTCAGACCGTGACCCAGATCATTTGATTGGAGATTCATGCATAAAATATGGATTTAGGTTGGTAGTTCAGATTTGTTTTCAACTTACCTTGTTCCAAGTGTGTTCGAGGAGCGCTCAGTATAAATGTGTGCCATTAGATTTTTTTTTCATTTCCACGGTGCAAGGTAACAAATAAATTCACAATGCAGTTCAGTGCAGAGATTACCCATCATATTGATAGCTATTCAAACCGGCTTTATGTAGCATTTGTCATTAGTAGAATCATGTATTGAGTTGATGCATTCTGTGCAGTTTTGTAATGATATTTATGCACGAAAATACAAAACGATATCACTGCTTTATACAGTGGCTCCGAAGAGTATTTGGACACTCAAGCGACACTTAAAAATGTCTGAATGTGATTGCACTGGATAACAAATGATCACACCAAGTGTAGACAAGGGTACATTTCAAGTTTGTTTTAGTTTGTATTATCTAATAAAGACCTTCAGAGATATTTAAGACTCACTCAAGCATCCAAGTACTTGTAGGCGCCACTGTAAAAGTTATTAAACAAAACCAGAAACCAAAAACATTGTACAATGCAATACTCTCTAATGAACTACCTTTGCTCCATAATATCAGAATGAGTAGGGAACTGTAGTCCACATTAAATTTGCTAGTCATCATTATCACTTTCCATGGAGTTGAAATGCCAGCATGACTTTTAAAGGCCTTTTCAGATGAAATGTGTAATTTTGGGGATGTTAAAATACTTTTAAAGCCAGTCATAGGTTGATTCTCCCGAAAAGAGCCCATCTTCTGTTGACATAGCAAAAATGACACACATTACCTTTTAAAGACTTAAACACTGCTGTTTCTTGATCTCTCCATGTAGCAGCAATCCATAAACGACAGCATCTCATGAGTGCCACTGCCCACAGAGTTTCTCCTGGCACTGCTAATAGCACCAGGTCACTTTTGATAGACTTTATCACATCAGTCTTGCCAGGGAAAGCGAGAGAGAGGGACAGTCAGGGGAATAGTGGTCTCAAACTGCTCTAAGCTAATTTAGGATTCCTCCGCTCGCTTTTGTCCCTCCGGTGTGTTTGTGAACAGGGCCGCAGACGCTCAGGCTAAAAGAGCAAGTAATTGCCGCTGCAGGCGTCTTTTGTTCTGAAAGAGGGATACGGAGTTGTGAAGAGGCACTCACTCGTTTAAGTGGCTGAACCCACACTAGACAGAAATTGAAACAGACGCATGCAGCTTTTAACAAAATGGAACCCGCAAAGCATGTCCTGTCTTTGCTGTGAAGCAGGTAAAAGAACAAGTTTGTGGCACATCGTTTCCACTGACGTGTAGCTCTAATAGGAACAAATAGCTTGCATTTAAAAGTCACGACCTGTCAAAGGTGAATTCACTGTTTGTTGGAGTGTGCAGCTATTATTGGACAACTTGATTAAAAAAATAACCAAGGAAAAAAAGTGTGTAAAACATTTTCCCCTTGGTCTAGTGTTAAATGGTCAGTTGGCAGGTCACACAAATACTGAAGAAATATTTAAGAATCTGCACTATTTCTAGATCAAATTGTCAGAAAAGGTCAGATTTTCCTTTATTCTACTGAAGCACAATATGCTCTAATAATAATAATAATAATTTTATTTATTGGTTAGTTAATTTTTATTTTATTTAGTATTATTAACAACAACAACAATAATAATAATAATAAAAAATAATGTTGTTTATTTATTGGTTAGTTTAATTTGTTATTTTATTTTATTTTATTTTATTTTAATAGTAGCTTTTTCACTAGCTCTCTTTCACCTTTGGATCCAATCGTATATACATTTGAAACTAAGCTCTTGGTGAACTACCCAAACTGTGTGCCTTGGTGCATTCAAACACTGCAGAGTTTTCATTTGTTCAGTGCAATGAAATACTTAAAGCAGTATTCATATATTCATGAATATGATTAATTGCTTCCTAATTGCATAAATGAAACGGGAATAGCCTTAATCATGGGTTAATTAGTGTATAACCCTCTTCCTGTTGTTCTGTACAGTTCTTCAGCGTCTGATAGCATTGATACTCTTGGTCGGGGACAAAACATTTCTCTCACTGCGGTCGGGAGTGTTTTTAAAGCGTCTCGTACTTCTTTCACACGTTTTTTGAGAATCTCTTGCCGTTTCTTTCTTCATTTACACCTAACGCTGCAGTCAGCTGTCATGCTTTCCTTTGTTCTTTATGAAAAACAGTGCTCTGAATGAATGAAAACACTATAGACAGCAAAAGCAGCTTGTGTCATTGTTTTCTGTTTTGTTTTTTAGTTTCTTTTGCCTAATCCTCCTGCTAATACTTCGCCAGACTGGAGGTGTTACTCTCGAAAGCAACATCTCCTGAAATAGTAGCGCCGCTGTCTCAAATACCTCCAGATGACTGGCTGATGCCACTTTTCTTTTGTTATTTTGTGCTGCACGTTTCTTTTATTCATTCTCACTGGAGCGTTTTTCCTCCTGAGCCCCTAATGTGTAGATGATTGCCTCAGGAGGTTGTTGTAATCATTCATACCTGTGTTCATAATTCGTAATTATAAGCATCCATTTCACAATCTGTTTAAAACGATGTAGAAACTGGGTGAACTCTGTTTAAATTTGTTCGTGTCTTTTTTTGTCTCCTAGAAAATGATGTTTTTGATCAGCCTGTTTGTGCGACATCCAGAAGCTGATTATGACAAATAAATAGATTTTAAAAAGAAATAAAAAGAAAACAACTACATTTTGTGCTTTCTTCTAAGGAAACACAAATTGGTACTTGGCTGTGCTGACCTCACCACCAGAAGGTGTTTTGGTGGTTGCTAGGATGTTGCTATGTGGTTGCTAGGGTGTTCTGGGTGGTTGCCAGGGTGTTGCTTACTGGCCCAAGTAAAAAAAAACTGAAGTGTCTCACTGACATTCTGGTCTAAAATTATGGTTGCTAATGGTTTGAGTGTTGATGTGTTGTTGCTATGGTGTTGTTAGGGGTCAGGAGTCCTGGGTGGTTGCCAGGGTGTTGCTATGTGGTCATTAGGGTTTTCTGGGTAGTTGCTAGGTAGCTGCTTAATGGCCCAAATCAAAGGATCTCAAGTCTTTCTGATATTCGGGTTCCAAGATATGGTTGCTGATGGTTTGAGTGTTGCTGTGGCGTTGTTAGTTGGTTTGTAGTGAGTTCTGGGTTTTTGCTTGGGAGTTTTGGATGGGCAGTAAGGAATTGCAAGGGAATTCTGCTATGGAGTTCCGGGTGAGTGCTAGCGCCTTGCTAGAGAATTCTGAGTGTTTGCTTTGGTTCTGGGTGGTTACTAGGTGACT